AGTTTTAGGTGGAATTGATTTTTTTTCAATTCCAACTTTCGGTGGGAATTTATCAGTTTTCAACAGAAAACACCTTCTCCTTTCTTTTGCCTTTGGAGGACTCACACACCTCTTCCACTAGTCAAACAACCACCAAAATGTTTCGTGCATTAAAACAACAATTATAACATGCAGAGTCGGCTATAAGGAGCACCCTAATCGACTACTCAAAGACCTCATTTTATACGACTCCAAATTTTTCAATCATATTTTTTATTTTTACAATTGAGATCGTTAAATTTTTTTAATTTTATTTTTTCTCTTTATAATTGAAGCTTTAATTTTTGTAATCTATTTTTTACCTTTATAATTTAGGCTTCTATTTTTTTAATGACACATTTTATCTTTATAATTAAAGCCAATAATTTTTTCAACCCCTCCTTTTACTTTTATAGTTTAGGTCCTTAATTTAATCATTTTTCTATGATTTATTAATGTAATATTAAATTAATTGTTCAAAGTAATAGGATATACTTTCGTTCTATAAGGACCTATTTTTTAGTTTCTTTCAGGACGCTGAAAATGTCTAAGACTTTTTTGTTGTTGTCCTTCAGGTTCCCAAGGCTTCGCCCTAACTAATCTAGACAGACCCAGGTTACACAACTGGCTTTGGTAGGTGAGTTTCCCTGCATATACAATAACTCGAACTCGAGACCTATTTAAACGATATTAAGCTGCATTCACTTGAATCAACCCGTTGTTAAGGGGACTTTGATAACATGTAAAATTAAATATACTCGTAACAAAATGGAAGTGCTAAGAGAAGTCTTTATATCTAAAATCCTCCATAAACCTCGAAATAGCTCCAAACCACCTTTAAAAGGAGATAAATAAGCTTTTCTTGAAGTTTACGGATTAAGGGTGATGAATCCCATCTTCTTTACTCCCGGATGAATGGTTTGAGGGTCAAATATTGTACCTTTAGCTAAAAATTTTGGTTGAAAAATGGAGAGGACAAGGAAGAAGAAGAGAATGAATAGGAAAAAGATGAGCCAAGGGCGGTAAAAAGCGTTCAACTTTTACCCCTAGACCACCCGAATGGCACAAGGAAAAATCAAAAGAAATCAACCTTATATTCATCAATAGATTAATTATTCATATGGTCCCTCCTCATTTGATCTTAATATAACTAATTATGTATAAATTGGCTCATGTTTTATCTAGCAACTCTAATCACACATACTAATTAATCAATCCATGTTTCGAGTCAAAACTCAAATATTAACTAAAAAATTTAGGTTATTACAATACCCTCGATGTGGTCAAAAATCAACTATACCTTCGAACTTAACTAAAAAAATCAATTCAACTCCTCTATCACATCATCATTCACACGTAAACTATCATATCAACATAATGAATCACAATATCAACCTCGTTAATATCATGTAAGCATCATAACACTCAATCCTAGTAAAAAAAATGAATACATTATCCTTTCTCTTCACAACATATCATTTACCGGTCTCATTACATTTTAGTCAAAAAAAGTAATTTTGTCTCTTCTTCTAAATATGGTCTATTTCATAATCATTGCCGCAAATCGAATGGACCCATCCAGACGTGCTTGCTACACAGCGAAGACTGTCAACTCTATCCTTGTTCTACCTCTATCATCCTTATGGCTTTCAACTTTGAAATTATGGAAACTGCAATTCCAATCACTGTTATGGACTCTCTCCCTAGTTAAAAATAGCAAATCTTGAAACAATTTAACATCCAATCCTACAAAGAAAACCAGTATCTGTATCAGATCTGCATAAAACCTTCAACTATGTCTGAAAAGAGAAAAAACAAAACCAGAAGCCCAATGCCCTCTAAGTTTGGTATGTTGTTGTCTTTCATCTGTTTTTTATTTGTAACACATACTATCTCTGTTGAGGCAGTATCTTCTTACGACTGTTCCTCGTTTGATGAACCATCTTCTCTTGAGTCCAAAGTTTATGGGACAAATCCGGGTAACAGTGCAAAGCTACAGCCTTGCGTGTATAAAAAACAAATCACATGTCCATTTCCTGTATTTCCAGGTCCCAAGTTAGTTCGTCTTCATTTCAATCCATTCTCATATTCAGGCTTTAATATTTCCAAAGCATTGTTCTCTGTCAGTGCTGCTCACTTCACTCTTCTGAAAACATCCACTGCTTCATACTCTAAATGCCTGTCGGGTGATTGCTACACTGTGACGGAGTTCTGTATCGACATCGTCGATCAGGTGCTAAATGTAACATTCACCCCGTCACCGGATGTTTCTGATGCATATGCATTTGTGAACAAGATTGAGATCGTCCCCTTGCCATTAAATCTTTACACCCGAGAAGTTGTTTCGCTGCCGTTGATTGGACAACCTTCTTATTATATGAAGAACTTGACAGCTCTCGAGATGATGTACCGACTGAACATAGGTGGAAAATTGATACCCGAGCAAGAAGATACTGGCATGTTTCGCAAATGGATACCCGATGAAAGTTTTTTGACGACTGATAAAAGTAACATGGAATTATATCCTTCAGGTGAATATAGATATCAGATGCCAACGGGAATCCTTTCTTCAGATGTCCAAATCAAGCGAAGTTTGACGATGCCGGCATACGTTGCTCCAAAGCAAGTTTATGCTTCCGCAAGGACAGTTGCTTATGATGGAAGTAATCAAACTGGAATTACATGGTTACTGCCAGTCGACTCTGGTTTCTATTACCTTGTTAGACTCCATTTTTGTGAGATATCAAATGAGATTAAGGGTGTTGGTCAAAGAGTTTTCCATGTCTATATTAAGGATCAAACTGCAGAAGATCAGGCAGACATATTTCTATGGTCTCATGGAGTTGGTGTTCCGGTTTATAGGATTACATCGTAAATTTTTCTGAACATACCAAGAGGAGAACAAATCTGTCAGTTTCAATACAAAACAGCAATGGTTCAATCGAGACATCCTGGCCAGCGATCTTAAACGGGTTAGAAATTTTCAAGTTGTCCGATTTCAACAACTTCTTGATCAGCACTCTTGTTCTAGCTACTCTATGGAAATTAGTGGCTACTTGTTGGAGATGGCAGAGAGAAATTTTTTTGCAGTCCCAATCATCTGACCATTTCCGGTGCTTCTCATTTGATGAGGTAAAGTTAGCCACCAACAACTTCTCTGCTGCTTTACTACTTGGGACTGGGGGCTATGGGAAGGTTTACAAGGGATCCATTAATTGTGGCACAGATATTGTTGCGATAAAACGAGCTAATCCATGTTCTCACCAAGGACTAAATGAGTTCCAAACTGAAATTTTCCTGTTGTCACAGCTTCGGCACTGTCACTTGGTCTCGTTGATCGGATGTTGCAAGGACAAAAAGGAAATGATACTTGTGTATGACTATATGGCAAATGGAACCTTGCGTGATCATCTATACAACACGAAGAATCCTCCGCTTCCGTGGACGCGAAGGCTCACGATCTGTATCGGAGCAGCTCGAGGGCTGCATTACCTTCACACGAGTTCAAAGCACTGCATCATACATCGTGATGTGAAGAGCACCAATATACTGTTAGATCAGAATTGGGTGGCTAAGGTTTCAGATTTCGGACTTTCGAAAATCGGCCCCAACATGCTAACTCGATCGAACACGCATGTTTCTACGATGGTGAAGGGCAGCTTCGGGTACTTGGATCCTGAGTATTACAAGCGTCAGAAGTTAACCGAGAAATCAGATGTGTACTCCTTTGGGGTAGTATTGTTTGAGTTACTATGTGCTAGACCTTCTGTTCTACAAGGAACAGAACAGATGGAGGAAGAGCAAGAGAAGATAAATTTAGCTGAGTGGGTACTGCATTGTTACCAATCAGGGAGGTTTGATGAGATTATTGACCCATATCTACAAGGAACAATAGATCCAACATGTTTGACAACATTCACAAATATTGCAAGGAAATGTTTGTGTGATAAGGCAGTGAAAGGCCAACAATGGGTGAGGTGTTGTGGCATTTGGAGGAGGCTTGGCTGCAGCAGGAGAGTGCTTGTTTACAAAACAATGGCGACTGCGGTGTAGCTGATGAATCATCTGTGATAATAGATGTTAGTGGAGTACCTTTAGACGGTACTTCAGATCTCAGTCCAGGAGTAGAGTTCTCCGAGATCATAGCTCCGATTGGGCGTTGAAAAATCTGAAGCTATAATAGTCCACAAATATAGGTTTATTTGTGTTGTTTGTGTCCAGCTGATGCACATGGCAGTGATGATGAACAAACAAAGATAACATTATATTGACAATGAAAAAATGAAAACAGTACTAAAAGTTTTGACAAAGTCATTTGCTACCAGTCAAGCCTTATACCTGTTGATAGAGTCACCTGCATTTTATTTTAGCTTGAAGAGCCATTTACAATCAATTACCTTTATATCCTTTCATAGATTAAGTGTTTATCAGGTGATGGAATGCACATTAAAGCTATGAAAAAAGTCGTATTGAAAACTTGAAGAAGACAATATCGATATTAGTCCAATGAAAAGCATGATAGCTAATGGATCGTGGATTGGTTCTGCATCTGTTTTTTATCTATACCATGTTAGTTTGACTTTTGGTTATTAGCAGAGTAAATATTCAACAAATTAGAGACAAATTGTCAATAATATGCTGCTGGAATAAGTTCATGAGAAAATGTATCAGACGATTTCCGATAAAATTGTCTTTAGTTAGGATTATGTTTATGTGTAGAGATATAAATAAGAATGTAAATTCATGTAACTATCTTTAAAGATTTTATCCGATAAATCTGTACTTTGAATTTCAATGTACACAATCTTTTCTTTTATCCCAAAGCTATGTATATAAACAACATCATTTAGTAATCCATATCTTATAATTATAACGTTCTCCATCATCATTACTCACAGCTGATAGTCATCACAAAAATTGAAATAGCATTAGTTACATCCGCAATCACTATAAACAAAACACAAGTGTGTGATTTGTGTTTCTTTGATTCCCAGTTCAGAGAGGTTGCTTAACAGGCCAAAATGGGACACCGGGTTGATTCCATTGTCCTCATTTCTTCATTTCATTTCACGGTTTTGGCTCTTTTTTGCTGCAATCAGCTGGCAAATGGGTGCGATTTGTTCACGGGCAGATGGGTTTATGATCCATCTTACCCTCTCTACAATGCCTCGGCTTGCCCTTTCATGGAGCGAGAGTTCAGCTGTCAGCAAAACGGACGTCGGGATCTGCTTTACACTCGATACCGGTGGCAGCCATCTCGGTGCTCCGTCACAAGGTACAATGCCGCACACGCATACGAACACGTTCGGATAATATATATTACATGCAATTTATTTTCTTTATGTTGTAGATTCGATGCATTGAACTTCCTGAAGAGTTTCAGAGGGAAGAGCATAATGTTTGTGGGAGATTCTCTGAGTCTAAATCAATGGCAATCCTTGGCATGCATGCTTCACTCTGCACTTCCTAATGCCACGTTCAATATTACTACAGTTGCAGATGTCTCCACGTTCGAATTCCAGGTCTGTAAAACCGATCATCTTTATTTATGTAATGTGGTCGTTACTTATGTAGGGACGTAAATGAAGTAGGTTGAAATGAATAAATTGTGTTTGTGTTTAGATGTTTACTTTTTAAGATATTCATGTTCAAAATCATATTACTGTTGGTTTGTTGATTTTTAGAGATGTTTATGTTTAATTCGTTTAACGTTCGAGAACATATTCATTTAACGTCTGTGAACATGTTGTTTAATATTCGCCAACATATTCAAGTTGTGTTCATTTAAGGTTTAGTAACCAACACTTTTTTTTATAACGAAACAACATTTTTTTTACCTTTTAATTGCAAGCCAAAAATATGGTAAAATTATACCAGTAGTCCTTAAGCTCTTTAGACATCAGGGTTTGAATTCAAAAGTTTAAATTATGTTAATCTAGTTCTTGTCTTCACTAATATTTAAAATATAAAAAAAGAAAAAGGATAATCGGGTAAACAAACTTATAAACGAGATAATAAACGTGCATTGAAATGAACTTGTTCGTAAACATAAACAAACTGATCACACCTCTGTTCGTGTTCGTTTGTCTATTAAATGAACGTAAAAATTTTATTCATAATAGTTTATTTAACATAATAAATGAACTTTATACAAATAATTCACAAATAGTTCATCGAACTCTCTATTTATTTAGACCACGTACTTGTGCAAATGTTGATTATAATATTTTTGAAAAATGGCTTTGTTGCAGGGTTATGGAGTGAAGGTGATGCTTGATCGAAATTTGTTTCTAGTAGATGTTGTTAAGGAAAACATTGGGAGGGTATTGAAACTCGACTCCATTGAAGGAGGCCAACTATGGAAAGGAATTGACTTGCTTATCTTCAACACTTGGCATTGGTGGAACCGTCGTGGACCCACTCAACCGTATGTTTCATAATATACTTTCATATTGGATTTAAATTCTCGTCTTAATTGTAATTACGTTGTATTTATGGTGATTATGGTAATAATAAATGTTATTATGATCCTTACGAGTATTATGATTGTGAGATAACAGTTTCAAACTCCAATAAAATTAATTAAAATATTATAATACATGTATTAAAAAAACTTTCCAGATGGGATTTTATTGAAGTAGGAGGCGTAATTAAGAAAGACATGGACCGTATGCTTGCTTTCGAAACCGCACTCAGAACATGGGCTGCATGGGTGAATGCCAACATCAATCCTTCAAAATCTCGCGTCTTCTTCCAGGGAATTTCTCCATCACATTACAAGTAACCCTAACAAACCTCAGTCTTCGATGTGAAAACTCTCGTATTCGGGTCGAATTTCATTTTTTTATTCCATTTATTTCAGTGCATCGTCATGGAACGAAGCAAAGGCGAGGAGTTGTTTAGGGCAAACGCAGCCATTGCTTAGCTCAAGCTATCCAGATGGTGTTCCACCAGCTTTAGGTGTGCTGAAGAAGGTGTTGAACACAGTGAGAAAGGATGTCACGTTGCTCGATATAACAATGTTGTCGTTGCTACGGAAAGACGGGCATCCGTCGATATATGGGACCGGAGCGGCGAACGGGATGGATTGCAGCCATTGGTGTTTAGCCGGAGTTCCAGACACTTGGAACGAGATTCTTTACAGTCTTATTGTTTGAGTACAATAATAGTTTGTTGATATTAGCTAATAATTTTCAGTGAAAAAGTAAAAAGATAATAACGTTGTATAAATGATAGATTGTTGATTTGATTATAATGAGGATTTGAATGGCTGTTATAATTAACGTTATTATAACTTTATTTGTTAGAATTCACTTTTGATATTTATTAGCGTAGTTTTTATTTTTTAATTAAGCTAAAGGTGATTATAAAGTAATATCTCTTCTAAGTAATCTCAGTCATTTTGACGCTAAACGTTTAATCACCGTGTTCAATCACCCTCGCAGTCGTTGTGCTCGAACCCATAATCTAGGAATAATAACGATTCTTTTAACGTGTTTAATCACTTGCATATATTATTGTTCTAGATTTGGTCCCAGATGAACGGTTGTGAGAGATTTTTTAAAACCATTTAATTCAGAATTTGGTAAGGTAGCCCCTGGACGGGGAACAACTCCTTTGATGGGTGTCGTAACGGTTTTATAATTTGTGATATTCTTATGTATTATTTTGGAGAATTATAATTCTTCTGTTTTACTAAATATAATTTCACTTAATTAGATTCACAAGAATCACAAAGTCTTGCTTTTTAATAGAAAAAATGAAACTTTTGTTACAATTTTAGTTTAATCTATTTTAGTAGTTACAATTTTTGTTAAGTCATCGGTCAAATCTAACGACGGGTTATACAAAAAAAATGAAACATAATGTTAGATATGATTTAAAAAGATATAGGATGACCAAAACAAAAACACGAAAACAAATAGATGACCAAATAAATTATTTACCCTAATATTTAATTAAAACAACTTATTTAAAGCTTGACATACAATTAATACATTTTTATAAAAATCATTGAGTATTATTTTATCAATAATTATTTAATGGGTAAAGTTTATAATTGTTTACATATAATCTTTTCTTTCTTTCATATCATTCAACTATGATAGAATCTAAAAAAAATTGTATATTTCACATGCATAAATAAGCCTTGATCTTTACTTTACAATCTTACATTCAAATAAAATCTTGCATTAAATTTATATATTTAGATACGCTATTATCCTTTATTTACAAATCAATTATTATCTGAAATAAAGGATTAAAAGTTAAAGCTTACTTTTGTGGGGAAAATGCAATAACTCCAAGACTTTCTGAGTATAAAAAGTGCAATATCTACAACACCTTTAGCTGGTGCCTTCGATCTTTATCTTTTTTTCGGCTGATGCCTTAATTTTTTTTGTCGTCGATAATTTAATATTGGTAAAAGGGTAATTTTTTCTCTTGTAATAGATTCGATTTATCATTTTCGTCCCTATCGTATTTTCATATCAAATTAGTCTTTGAAGTTTCTCAGTTGTATCATTTTATATCCTACTCCTCACTTAAAATCTTAAATTGAGGGTTTTAAGTTAGAGATATTAAGGTGTATGATTTAGGGTTTAGAGGTTATGAGTTATGGTTTAGGGATTAAGGTTATCAATTTAGGTTTTAAATTAGGAGTATGGTATATAATGATGCAATTACATAACTTTGAAAGTTAAATTGATGTAAAAATACAATAGTGATGAAAATGATAAATTTGGTCACTACAGGAGCAAAAGTGACCCTTAAGCTTTTAATATTAGATTGCTTTATAAAGAAATTATTCTATCCTTTTTAGGCTGAACTTTTAAATCAATTAATATGGGGAAAATTGTATATAATCACCACCTAGCCTATTTGTCACAATTGCAATATTTTAAATACTAATTAGGCAATAATAATATATTATCAAATCTTCTGGCATCACATTCATATATAATTAAGCATTTAATACAATTCATAGCAATATTCTTTACTTTGGAATCGCAATTTAATTGGAATTTATTGAAATAAAAAATAAAAATAAAAAAAGTAGCAAGACTTTGATATATTATTGTAAACAACACAAAGAACATACAAAGGGAAGCTTTCCTTAGAAGGATAGTATCTAACTACACACCAATGATTGCACATTTAATTTGCCTTTACGCTTTCCAAAACACCTTTCTTTGTTTGGTGCAATGGATGCCATTGTATAGGTAATGTGAACATTTCATTTGTTTGATTCTAATCTTATAAAATTAATTAATTGATTGAATTAATTCACCCAAAATCTTAAAATAAATTTTAATATTTCACATTCAAGTTTTAAGTTAAATATCATACGTGAGGTTTTTAGTTTAGCTTCTTCTTCTTTTTTTTTCTAATTTTGATTCTATCATGTGTGGGTTTTATTTAGATTTGTTATGATTTAAAGTTTAATATATATATATATATATAGGTAAGAAGTATAAATTTATTAAATAGGGTTAAAATATTTTTCATTTTTTAGAAATATAATTTTTTTAATTAAGGAGCCTTGTAAAATTTTCTTTATTTATTTTTTACAATACAATTTCTCAGTATTAATTAATATTAAAAAGATAATTGGTAGGGACCAGGCTCATGCTGATCCTTATGATGTTCTGCCCATGTATATATAGACGATCAGTCTAATAATATTTTATAACAAATATCTATAATATAGTTATTTATATGTGAATTATTTATACTTATAAATTTAGAAAATAAAATAAAAAGAATTGGTTCACAACGTCTAAGAATTTAATTTTCTAATAGTTTATGGTGATTACAAGGTAGTATATATTCAATATCTTTCTTAGTTATTGACAATGCATATACACCTACAGATGTAATTGATTTAACGCAATACCTCTAAGAAGAATAACGTTCCCTCTAACTACTGAGGTCACTTGATATGTTCAAGTATTCAACTTTAAATATATATATAGATATAGGTATTGAGATTTGAATCTTAAATATATTATATGTCGCTACATTAACAATTTAAATCACAAATTCAAAGAAATAAAAAGGTATCTTTGTTCTAAAGTGATCCCAATTTGGCCTCTAAAGAAAGAAAAAAGAAAAACTTTCCTCACAACTTATGGTTCGTTAATATATATAATATGCAAACCCTTTTAAACTCTTGATGGAATTGCTAATTTGCTACAACTTGGTTCCAAGAAATCCAACTTCTTATATATAATTTCTCTGGTCGTCTCTTACAATGGAAAGTGTGTTCCCTAGGTTTTGTTGGATCATCCTGTCTTGGATTCTGATCTTATGCATTCACCAGGTCCAGCTAAGTGAACCACAACCGGCCGGTGGCTGTGATTATTTCCGAGGGACTTGGGTTTTCGATCAAACTTACCCTCTTTACAACACCTCCGATTGTCCGTTCATCGAAAAAGAATTTGACTGTCAAGCCAACGGTCGACCCGATCAACTTTATCTCAGATACAGATGGAAGCCAAGTGATTGTATGTTACCAAGGTAAATTAAGTTCATCTTCTTCTTGATAGCAGGGAAAGAAATAGGCAAAATTAGTTGAATTTTAGGTTTTGTTCTGTTGATTAAATTATAACATTATAAGGTATCTCAACTCTTTTATTATTATATAATTATTTTATACATTAACGGTACGTAGAATAATAATTTAGGGTTTCTGATTTTGATATATTTGGTTCCAGATTTAATGCTGAGGAATTCTTGAGAAAGTTGAAGGGATATGTTACAAACTGTCACACACAATGCCATATTTGTTATGTACAATTGATAGTGGCGAAGAATGGAACGGGACCAAATCATTAACTTGCAGAGGTCAGATCAGACCAGCTACCGATTCAACATACGAAGGCAGTTCGCAGTCGGCAACGACGATCGTAAACGAAGTGTTGAAAAACATGTTGACGCCGGTTGTTTTGCTCGACATAACGAGACTTTCGCAGCTGAGGAAAGATGGTCACCCCTCAATTTATAGTGGCCTTATGGGAAATGATTGTAGCCATTGGCGCCTAGCTGGTGTTCCTGATACATGGAATGAAATTCTATATGCAATTCTTACAAATAGAGGAACTTAACTTATGGTTGTTCTGAATTTTTTCCTCAAGAGAGTTGGGTAGAAGCAAACTTCTTGTTAGACTCAATTTAAACATGAGTCTCTAACTGTGGAGTACTATTTTCCCTCAAATAGGTTTAGGGGGGGGGGTTAATGAGGCTCTTAGTTGGGGATGTGATTACTATCTCTAAGAGTAATAAAAATTTCTGGTTTTGCTGAGCAAAAAAAAATGAATCGATAAGATGATTAATTCTTAATTCAGTTGATTGAATTATCAATTTGACAACAATAAACAAAATTTATTATAATTAAAATATATATTTAAAAATAGAAAAAAAACATAAATTCTAATATTTAGACCATAGGTATGAGCTAATATTATAATTTATATATATATATATATATATTGAAATCCGTTTAAAAGAATTTTTAATTTTTATCTAATTTTCTGATTTTTCATTGGTTCACAATAACTCACTCTATTATTTATATTTATTTTTATTTAAATATTAAAATTATATATTTAACTCAATCATAAAGTTAATTTGAATTAAAATTAAAAGTAACTAGAAAATTTATATTGAATTATGTAATGCAATACTTCAATTTTAATGGTCCTAGGACACCAAACTTAAATCTTATCAATTATGTCAACTAGGGGTGGAAGTTTGATCGATTCTAATTAAAAAAAAATTGAGTTGATAAGTCTTATTTTATAACTCAAACTTTATTTAAAAAAAATTCAAGTCGGGTCAAGTTGCTCTAGTTTTTGTTTAAATTTAATTATAAATATTTATAGTATTATTATATTATTTGATTCTAATTTAAATGATTTCATAACCATATACAATACACATATTTTTCTTCACATTTTTTCATATGTGATATACATATATTATACAAAATTAAGGGACTTGACTCAAACTTGAAAATATATCTTCTAATTATTAAAATGTTTTAAGTTATTCGAGTTATTGTTCGAGTTATTCGAGTTCGAGTTATAACTCAACTTGAACTTGAAATTTTTTCGAGTCGAGTTTATAAAAGTATAGGTCAAGTCAAGTTTTGTTCACCTCTAATATCAACGTCGTGTTGATATTACATTTAAAAAAATAACAATAAAAAATAAATTTTATATTAATAATTATGTTCTTAATGGTTTTCCAAAAAAAGTCAAGTTCTTTAATGTGGTTTATTATTGCTTTATAATATTATAAAAATAAAAAATAAAAAATATACAAAAATTTAAATGACCTAATTTTTTTCTCACCACCCCTTATTTGTGAGTCACGGCAAGCAGTACCAAGAACAAATCTTCATTCTCAATCCCAAACATCCATCTTCTTCTTTAATTCTCTAACCCTATCCATTAATTCTCAAAACTAATGACAAAAAAAGAATCATGGAAACAGTCGAGGAAGATGGTGGGCATTGAGGATGGGACACGCAAGTTTCAACGAGATCTCTTGGATAAACCTATGTTTGATGCAATGGAGGAAAGCCAATTATTGAACTATGAATTTGATGTTGATCCACTAAATATAGTATTAAATGACATTGAATATCTTCTAGGTTGCTTCAATACTCAGACGGTAGAAGCTTCAAAGAAATGGGTTGAAAGCAACTGATTTAGAAGAACGAGACATCATAGGTTGAATTTGCTTTATAGAAAGCTAGTTTATCTATTTCTAAAATCCGCTTGATGAACAATCTAGTCGATCTTCTTTCGTCGAATAATTGAAATTATACGGTCTAGACAATGTTGAGAATGAAATGATTAATGAACTTTTGGATGAAAGTGAGAATATTAAAGACAAGATTGAAACAATCTCTGTTCTAATCTAGACAATGTTAAGAACGAAATGATTAATGTACTTTTTGGGTGAAAGTGAGAATATTAAAGACAAGATTGAAATAATCTCTGTTCTAGCCATGGAAGGAATGTGAAAGACATGTCTTTTTGCATTTGCAAAGATACAGAGTTTTTGCATACTTTGATAACATAATTTGGGTGAACATTTTTTGCATTTTTTATATAAATTTTTTTCAAAAACAATCTTCAAGCTTTTGGAGTCTTGGAACATGCAACAATAACTTCATTACAATATCTTCTGGTAACAATTCATGGGAACATTTTAACAAGTCCCTTCTTGTTTTAGATGATGTGGAGAGATATCATGATTATAATGGTCATTATTGAGAATCACTTATAGTTGTTTTTCAACAAGTCGGGTTATATAATATGATCATAGTAACTACTCGTAAATGTAGAATCGCAATGCAATCGACTTGTATGTTTCTTCTTAACAAGTTATCTGATGAATTGTGTCGGATGATATTTCATGAAGTCGTATTTGTCGGATGGGATGACAATATTCATTGTTAGAAACTTCGACGAGCCCAACTCACCCACTATAGAGAACCTATGATATATAACTAACACTACACCAACTCTTTTGATGTTGGTTAACCTTTTATCCTATAAATTCTTATTGCACAATAGTACTTAAGTGAAGGGCTAAGCATATATCATTCAGGTAGTATAACCAACCATATATCAATCAGGCAGTAGAGTCGATCATATATCAGGCAATATAACACAAGTGCACTAAGAACTTAAAGCAAACTAAGGCTTAGCCAAAAAAAATTAAGAGAAGGGAACACTTTTATTAATCAAAAATACAATTCTAATGTTACACACTTACCTCACTACTTTTCTCTTCTCTACCTCTAATCTCTTTTTCTCTCACACATTTGACACTCTTTTCCCTCTTTTTCACACTTACTATAATGGTAAAACTCACACTATTTATAAATTTTAGTGGCCATTGGATTGTTGAAACATGTCAGCATGTTAGCCATTTAACATTACAAATATCTAGATTCTTCTAGTAGATAATTCTAGATATAATATTAAATATAACAAATATCTAAATTATTTTATGAATATTTTATATGTCTATTTTTTTATATTAATCTAGAATATTCCTAAGATATATCTCTTAAATGATAATTATATATTTATCTAGAAGTTATATTTGATCTTAACATTCATGAATATGTTAAAGATGTAGAAAGGGAACTTGCAAAGAGATGTGGAGTATTACCATTTACAACAAAGGTTTTGGGAGCTTTCTTGCAGCATCAAACTAGTAGAGAAGAGAGGGACAGTGTTATGAATATTTTTGTACAAAAGAGTATGGTATAAAGTAAGATTTACTCAATGTTTTGAAAACCATAGTCCAACAAAGTGAGGATGCTACAAAGCAAAAGCAACTGAACTACTCCCTTTTTTGTTGTTTTTAGGGGTGAGCAAAACTCGACTCGACACGACTCGAAAAAATGATTTTTTTAATTTCGAATTATTTGAGTTGAGTTATGTGAGTTATTCGAGTCAACTCGAATTATAAATTCAGTTTTCGAGTTTGAGTCGAGTAGAATTTTTTAAATTTTGAGTTACTCAAAAAACCGAAAATTTGACTAAGTATTTTGACTGTTTTATGATTTAGTCTCTGATTTCATTATTCCTTCAATTTCTCTTTCATTTTAAGTCAATTTTTACCAAATTTGAACCACATGCTCCTAAACTATCGTAGAATACACATGCACTTTCAATTTCTCTTTTTGATAACAAGTTTTCTAGTTTTTCAATTTAGTCCCTCAATTTTTCATAATTTCTTTATTTCTTCAATTCATCATGTATTTTAAGTTCGTTTTTCACCAAATTTGAACCATATGCTCATATACCACTATAAAATACCTATGTAACTTCAATTCATATTTTTTACTAAAAAATGAACTCTCTTTTTTATTTAATCCCTTAACTTTGCATTTTACTCAATTTGATCTTTTGATTGCAATTGTTTGCAAATTCTTTCTTTCTATCATTTCCTTGACTCATTTATGCTCTCATCAATATTTTTTCCCTCAAAATACTTTCTTTAAAATATAATATTATGAATATATTTTATAATTTTAGATTTTATTTGATATATTAAATGGCATTATAATGTTAAAAGAATATGAAATATATATCTTACATGGTTAGAGAAAGCTAAAAAATTAAAACCAATCCTTATCATAATACTATAAATAAATTATAATAAAATTAATATAGAAACTCAAATAACTCGACTCAAATTTCTTAAACCTGACTCGACTCGAAAAAATTTCAAGTTAAGTTCGAGTTATAAAATACGACTTGTCACTTGAATAACTCAAAATATTTTTACTCGACTCAATCGAATGATCACCCTTATTTGTTTCTAACAATGATTAATTGAATCTCATTAAATCATCTTAGTAGTAAAAAATAGTGTTGTTCTTCTTAAAGATTTCGAATTTGAGCATCTATATTGGCAAGATATTATATTATAAAGATTCTTAACAATATTATCTTATAAACACCTCATCATATGAGTTACTTACGTGGCTAATATTTATCTCAATCTCTTACAAGATAGATCAACTAGGAGGCATTGGTGTTGGTGTTTCAAGGGTGGCGAGGAAAATGTTTGGTTTTAATTTAAATAAACTTTTCCTCATAATAATGGTGTTAAAATTCAGATTGAGATTTTTTTTTCAATGCTAAGAAACAGGTTTTAATGATTTCCCTAGAGTCGGTCATAGTGTTTTATGGACGCTGTTGCTGAACTGCATCCCCTCTAATCCAAGGTGTCTCCAAATCCGACCGTTGTGAACTGGTGGATTCAGAAATTATTTTTGGAGTCGTTACTTATATATTAATAACAGAGATTTTTTTTTTTTGTATGAATGGGCACAAATAAATGGTCGACCATGTTATATTGTGAATCAAGAAGAAATACTGGTTGTTAATAAAAACAAATACCTATATGGTCGATCATGTTATATCGTGAATCATGAAAAAATACTGGTTGTTAATCAAAACAAATACCTATCTACTCAAAATTACAATGGTCTTTCTAGTACACTGTCTGTGTTGGTTTTTTACCTTATGAAACCCAAATGGCTACTGCAGAATAAGACGGATTGACATGGAAGAAACCGGCATGTCCCGAACTTGGAGGATGGAAACTAGCATAGTAGTATAGGCAAAAAGCATGTCTCACAGTATGGATCTGCCTCTAAACCTGTCGCCTTTTCGGAATGCAGTCACTATGTGACGAGTGGGAAGGGCTTTTCACGCCAGACCAGGATATGTCGGGAACAAATACCATGCTATCGGATTGGTTGTGAGAGTCTTTAGGCCAATACAGCCCAGAGGCTGTAGGAGGTGAAGGCATTTGTGGCACTGCCCAATAGGAATCCGGCAACTGATCCATGCACTCATTATCAAAGACATTTTCCTCAGCCGATCGCAAGATCGGTGAGCTGTCGGAGTCTCCACACTTGCCACTATCAGCCTGTCGGAATCCAGCAATATCCAGAATTTTTAGCTTCATTAGGCATACCTTTTAAACAATATAAAGCACTACTAGAGTAATAGAAGAGACAAGAGCTCAGTGAATCGCTCGATTAAAAACTGAGCCAACAACATGAACTTTTTCCCTCTTCAACTTTAAATTATCTTAATATTCTGCCGAAAACATGTAATTCTAGTTTGGTAATAAGTTCAATGATTACTAGCACACTAGATGCTAAATTTTCAGCATTTATACGTGACCGATGAAGGATGGGGAACAAGAAAGTAATGTCTATGTTGAGAATGGAAGGAATCCTGACAACTTCTCGAGCCAGTCTCCCCTCTCTCACATCATGCTTCATGCTGCACCTTAATAGCGTAGAAAATACAAAATACAAAAATTCGTAGTTAATCTTTGATCAAGTTGAATGGTCCTTTCCATATCTAAATATTCAAGCTGCTACGAACCATAAAAACCATGCACCAAACAATAGGGTTCAAGTTGGAACTAATTAACTTGCTATTGAAGAACAGAGTAAAATAGTTGATTGTCTAACCATTAGATTAAAACTTAGATATTCATTGGTGTCCCCGGCCCACCAACTAAATTTACTTTGGTAAGTTCCGACATAGCAGCTGCACTCATGCATGCATTTTTGTCACTCGCTCATCCTGACAGGGTATACATACGTGAGAGAGAGTGAGGTCAACCGAATGTGGATTACTTGATTACCACCCTAGTAAGAGTAACTTTGCACAATGTAAGTAAACACAAATGACCCGTAGAAAGACATGACGCGGAGAACATAGATGACCTCCACTCTACATGAGAACAACATTAACTATAGTACCATAACCGAGACTACAAGCATACCTTAGATAACTCATTATCCATGTAACTAAAGCTTTGATTAAAGTCAGGTAGCCCAAGTAAATCATCCATTTGCCATGGTTGAATGATTCCAGCTGTAGAACCCCCACCATAAGACACTTTTGTTGGCACACTGCTCTCGACTCCAACAGTTGATGGAAGAACCAAGTTGTATTCACTCGTAATAGTCATAGGAGCCCTGATTTTAGATGTAGAATTGGATTTAGTTTCTGTGATCTTTCCATTACAAGGTGATTTGACATTGGAAGAAGATCCAACAGGGTCAGTTGTTGTTTCAAGACCAACTTTTACACCAGTAAGCAAAAATCTCTGGTGACCAGACACATAAGGATTTGCTGTATGTATAGCAATATCACATTTTCTGCAGAGTAAAGCTCGATCTTGCAAACAGAAGAAAAACCCAGATGTTTCCTGTAAAAAAAATGATTGATTTCATCATTATACTATAAAATAGTTTCCTTAATTTAATATCTAATTCCTATCAGTATACTATAAGCTACTCATCTTTTTCCCTGATTCTCCATAGTAATTAAGCTAAATCAAAAAAAAAAGAATTCACTTAAAAATCTTACCTCTGAAAAAACTATAATCCAAAAAAAGAAGATTTTCTATGGAAATTGAAGTACCTGGCAAATGTCACATTTAGGAATGTGAGGGGAAGAAGAAGAAAGGGGAACACGCTCATGCTTGCTGGCCAGTTTGTTTGCGATATGGACTTTCTCGTCGCACTCGAAACACAGCGCCGCCTCGTCGGAGCAGCACAGCACCTTCGCCTCCGCCGCCTCGCACACGTTACACTGTATCTTCATTTCTCTCACTCTTTATTTTATTTATTTATTTATTATTTTTCTTAATTAAATTTTGGATTTATAGTGTGAATTGGGGAAGGGGATATTTTACTTGAAGCTATAATTTGAGCATTGCCCACGTGGTAGATTCCACTAATGGAAACCCACGCAACATTTGTTTTTTTTTTATTAATAATTAATAAGTATAAAATAAAATTTGTTTAATTTTTTTTAAATATTTAATATTAAACGTTTAAATCTATGATATTCATAATAATCAAAATTTCAAATAATAATAATAATTTATTTATTATCGAAATTATTTAAATCGTGTAATAATATTTATTTTTTTAGTTATAAATATAACAATTTGGTTAAATTATAAAACAATGTAATTGAAAAAAAAATTAAAAATACTATGATAAATTATTAAAAGAAATATGTGAATGTTAGTATATTAGAAGGTAAAGTCATCCGCAAGTGAAATATACGATGTGAGACAGTTCAAATTAATTAGAACAAAATAGAAAAACAATAAAAAAAAGGAAAAAAATCATTCGTAGTTGAGACTTCAACAAAATCATTGGTTATTTTTATTGTTATTTTTTTTTTACTTTTAAGATTAAAATATAAAAAACTAAAAGTATACAGACTGAAATTTTTTTTTAAAAATTATATCTTTTTAAGTATAATCGTAAGTTGAAAGAAATTAATGATATTGTACTTTTTTGTTTAATGATAATAATAAAATTAATAAAACATCTTCAATAAAAAAATAACTTTAATTTCCTTAAAATTTTATGATTTTGTTTATATTCTCAAATAAAAAAATCGACTTATTCATTAGGTTTACATTTTATTTTGGCACCTGCATTTTAATTTTCTAAACTAGTTTATTTTTATTTTAATATAGATCAAAAATATAATATTTTTATTATAATATTTAAGATGATATGAATTTAATGATATTTAAATATATATTATTTTTATTTAAATATTTGAAACTATATTTTATATATTACATTGGAAAATTTATATATATATATATATATATATATATATATATATATATATATTTGTACTTTATTTTTCTTATTTTATAAGACATGTTTCTAGAAATTCAAGATTCATGAATTTTGGTGACAACTGAAAATGAAATGAGGACCGAAAATAATAACAAAATAAATATACACCTAAAAATACAAGCTTCCAGACACAAAAAGGTTGGTTGCGGATTGATTTGATTAAATTAAATTATTTAATAAAATTTCTAAATATTAAATAATTTTGACAAGATTTGAGGAAAAGTACTTAGGTGTGTTTGGTTGGGGAAATGTGAGATTCTCATAGGAATAGAATCCATATTTCCCGTTTGGTTGGCCGGGAATGTCATTCCCGGTAATCTTACATTACCAATAGTTGATTTTTTGGGTATATTACCGGAATGTCATTACATCCCTTTCTTAAGGTATTGTTAGATTACCGGCGTTTTGGACTAAAATACTCTTAAAAAAATTCTTTCAAAAATATCATTATTTATCATTGAATAATAAACATTCTACGAAGGTTAAATTACAAATTTATCCTTAAACTATTTTAGATTTACAAAAAATATCTATAATTAAAATTTTATATAAAATTCAATGGTTAAAATGAAATTTTACCCTTTCATTAAACCTTTTTATATTTTTATTTTGTAAAAAAATTATATAAATTTTATGAATTTAAATTTTTTAAAGAAAATATATAAATATTTTTCACCTTCTTAAAAAATAAATATATAATAAGGACAATTTGTCAAATATACATTCCAATAATCTTTTATTCCTTTAACCAAACACGGTAATCTTACTTTCCTGCTAAACCAACTAAACACAAAATACAACATTCGCAATAATCTTATTCCCTAATAATCTTTTATTCCTACTGATAATCTTATATTCCGTGAACCAAACGTACCTAGATTATACTAAGATCACTTTTTCAGGTAATTGGTTCTTGCAATTTTGAGTGGATAAGGTTTTTGTTTTAGTTTTTTCATAGTTTGGATAAGGTTATTTAAGTTAAGACTACTTCAAATCTTTAAATATTAAAAATATAAAAAAATGTGAATATTTTTTGAAATTTAAATTTCATTTTAAAGTTGGATTTAATATTTAAAATTTTTCAAATCAACTAAGTACTTAATTAATTTAATATTTATTTTTTAGTCCATTAAATATAAAAAATTTAGGTTTAACATTTCTATTAAAAAGATTTTGTTTTACCAATAGGGTTTGTTCAAGTGGTAAGAAATTTGATATTACTTAAGTAAGGTCTTGAGTTCGAGTATGCAAAAAATCTCTACTGTGAGACTCACTCACCAAAGTAGGAGTGCGACATGGATAGGTCCGGATTAGTCAAGACGAAGTCTTGGAACCGAAAGAAAAAAATTGTTTTAATTTAAAATCGAATAGAAACTCATTTATTCAATCAATAATTCGAGTTGGTTTATAACTATGCAAATAAATAAATTGTGACAGGTATAGATAGATTAATAGGTTTTTTTTAATTGTGAAATTACCTATTGTTAGTATAGTTGGTATTAGTTTATAACCATAATCAAACACACCATTTAGAACACTCCATCATAGTAAAAAATAATAATAATTAGATGACCCTATTTTCATATATAATGGGGTAAAGGAATGTATGGTAGTAGGCTGCCCTCAACGCTAGTTTGAGAGCAACTTTCGTGAAATACCTCAGGCAATTATAATTGTCCACCGTGGGACTCGATCCCACGACCACAAGTTAATAGCCTTGCACTCTACCAACTGAGTTGGACAGACAATTCTATATATAAAAACATACTAATGTTATCATGACCAATACTATATTAACTACTTTAATTAAAAGCTACTGATTAATAATCCTAATTCATATAACAAATACTAAACGTTAATAGATATTTATGGTTGTGTTATTAGAAACACTAAATTTAATATACAAGAAAACTACAGAAATTGATTTGCCTTTTTGCCATTTTCGCCCCTACCTTCACCAAATTTAACTACTAGAAAAAGAAAAAAAAAGTACAAATGGTCGACTGATTGTAGGGTACTATTTTATTGAGTCTCTTGATTATTAAAAGTTATAAAATGGTCACTTGATCATTTATTATGTTTCAAACTCGTAATTTTTTGTTAAAATTTAACGGTAGTCTATGTTGTACGTTAACCTATGGTTGAGATATGATAGTCATTTGAGATTATTATATTACAGTCAACATGTTAACGTCCAACTCAGAGGACGAATTTAGAATATAATGAATAGTCAAGTAACCATTTTGTAACTTCTAATAGTTGGAGACCTAATAAAATAATATCCTATAATCAGGGACCATTTTTGTGTTTCACCAAAACATTAATATTTCATTAGCAAGTAAAACATTGATGATGTCACCACCTTTACAAGTAAAATTTGAGTCATACACGTTTTGCTTTGGTCTCTCTTCAAAAGTCTGCAAACAAATTAATTAAGATTGTTAACATTCATTTTAAGTAACAAAGAAAGCTCATATAAAAAATAATATTCTCAATTAATTTTACATAATATTTCAGGCCACCATGAGACTAATCCTGCAATAGTAAAGTTAATCTACATTATCCAAATTAAAAAGTGAGTTCGGATAATATATTCTTTAGATTTCCGTAATCAAATATTTCTATACAAATATCGAATACTATTAATGAGAAAAATGATATTATAGTAGTTTTTGACGGATCATCCTCTTTAATGTAAGTGAAGAGTCATAAGCAATGATTAAATGAAGAGAAAGAGAGAATAAATAAATTAACAGAATAAATAGATATAATTATCATATATTAAATTTAAATGGTAGATAATATGAATTTATCAGTAGTTATATCAAAAGATCATAACATAAGTTGATATGAAGTTTTAAAGATTTTAGAATTTTAAAGATTTCAAAACTTGAAAGAATGATAACGAGAGTATGACTTGCAAAGAAAATATAATAAATACGAGTATTTTAAGAAAAGAATAACATAGATGTTGGTTTTTCAAGATTTATACATACCATCCTCTTTCTTCCCTAATTTCTGGATAGACATGAAGAATAAGTAGCCAATGAACAAAGCTACGCCGCCTCCCACTACAATTGCTACCAATTTGCCTGTATTACTATTATTATTGTGACCTTTTCCTGTCAAAAGTGTCAGAAAATTATTGGACGATATGTCATAACACAGCAAGGTCATGATTTGGATGCTTCAATGGAAGAAATGAAAATCAAAGAATTGAAAACTTTCCCATTTTTAATCTCATTTTTCACATCATCATTACCTTTATCTGGTATTCCATCTGGGTAGTATCCATAGCTAATAAAACAACTGTCCAAATAGATTTTCCCTGAAAATGAGGTGCCGCACTCTTCTTGAGCAGTCTGAGCCGCAACACGCACACATTCACCACAATCACAACCCCCCAAATCCCCTTCACATTGCGCAATCACCTGAATCAGTTCATAATTCTCTTTATAATATCCACCCCCATCCGTCACACCACTCTCCACGGCCGCAAACGCCGCATCCCGCAGTTCTTCGAACCCGAGAACCTCCGCCTTTTTCTGGTCGCAAATCTTGTGAAGCAACTCGAATTTAGAACGTTCCTCGACGAACTCGTCGGCCTCGTAGTGAACGTAGCATCCGTAGAGCTGAATCCGGGCCGAAACGGCTTTATCACACAAAGAGTTGGACATTTCAGGAAGTGAAGTTATGCATTTGTAGCAGTCATCGTTGCTTAGGTCACCTCTGCATTGAAAGAGGCCTGAAATGCCATTCTTATCATCTCCTGCTGTAGTTTTGTAAAACTTTTCGCCGGACGATTTCGATATAAGTTCTTCGAAAAAGGAGTGAAGGGATTCAGAATAAGACATGGTTGAACCTGTGCAGTTCTTGTATATCAAGGTACTATAATCTGAAGTGGTTTCTGCAGTTGGAAAGAGTATTATATGTGAAAAGGCTAAAAGGGTTAGTGTTTTCGAAAGAAGAGACATTGATTCCATATGGGACTTTGGATGTTCAAACTGGTTTTTTCCTACTTATGTTGTGTTTCAGACAACATATGTAGTAGCTGTTCCGATATCATCGATTGGGTAGTTGACAAAGTGATAGTTGGGAGTTGGGACTTTGGTTCTGTATCCTTCCTACCTTTATCTAACTATGGAAACTTGTTGATTGGATAAATAATGTTGTTACAAGGAAAATTTTCCTTCTATCTAATGTTTTCTACAAATCTTTGGAATAGGTTTTCAAATTTTCTTCTATTTCAGAATATATATATATATATATTTATAATCTATTTCCGTCATTAAAATTTTAGAAGTTTAACTCCAATTTGTCCCTAATAATTGATAATATAATTGGAGTACGCTTAAGATTTCAAATTATTTTTTAAGTTTAATCTGGAATTATATAGTAACCCATTTTATTATTAAAATACTAACATATCTAAAAAAACTATTTTTATTGATATATTTTATAGTTAAATTAACGGTTACTGTTAAAAAATAAATAAGGTTGTATGAAATCCAGATAAATTTAAGACAAATATAATGATAAGTTTATTCCTTTCATTGTGTTTTTTTTATTTTTATTCTTTTCTCATATATAAATATCTCAGCTACAGAATTACTGATGTTAAACTTAAGATGGTGATGACTATATATAGGTTGATTTAAACAAGATAGTTACGGTTTTTGGAGCAAATTTGACTCTGGTAAATCATGTGGGACTATCAAAAGTCTAATCGTGAGGTTATAGTCATCCAGGAAGTATGAGACTCTAGATGAATCGTGGGCAGAGAGACTATTTCCGGATGTATAACTCTTATCCCTCCTTGGTTGAGGGAATCTCATAAAGTGACATGATCCAAAACTTATGGTGAAAAATATAACGATCATCTATCGATTTTGTTCAATAACATAGGCATATTAGCGTTCTTATTCTCGGAATAAAGACATTCATTTCTTTTTTTTAAGAAAACACGATTGATAGGCACAATCATTTTTGCACTAACAAAGACATCTAGATGTTTACATTCAAGCGGAGAATATTACCCCTAATGTGAACGATAAATAAGACATCTATATCTCAATTCTATATAATACAATAGTAGAAAATTCCCTACTATTAAAATTTTCATGGCATTCATATAATCTACAAAGCATTCCACATGAACTCCACTGTCAATGTGCCCTAAATATTTTTACAAGATAGACAAAATCAGCTACATTATTTTGAAAAAACATATTAATATTAATATTATAATTATAAAATAATTTATTAATGTGATACAATATCACACTGTTAATAAAATAACGTAAATTATTGTTAACATTATTATATTTAATAACCATATCATCTCATTAAAATTAAAATTAAAATAATTGATTAAAAAATAAACATTATATTTATCATTATACCTATGAGGAAACCTTGTTGGATCTACGACCTTCGGGCTATCTACTGAGTGTAATTGTTTTATTTGCATTTAATAAAACAGAATAATATTGTGATCATTAAAAGGAAAGTTTACTGTTAGCATTTTACTAATAATATCAAGAAAATTTATGTTTATTTTAAACTTAAATTATTTAAATAACACTATTGAAAAATAATTTATTAAAATAATATTTTTATTAATTATTTATTAAAATAATATTTTTAAAATATGGTTGATTGAATGTGTCTTTATTCTAGGTGATATATATTGTTAATGTGTCTTTTTATTAACTTGACGTAATTATAAGGTAATATTTGTTCATTTTCTTAGTTAATTGAAAATAAACATACATTGCAGATGTAATTGTTCGAACCCGAAATTTAAAAAGAGAACAATAATCTCTTTTACTACTGAAGCCACTTAATAAATTTTACGATCAACATCTTAAATTGTTTTAATTGAAAAATGGTGAAACATTTGCAAGAAAACATGTTTTTTTCAAAGTAATACAGCTTTATTTGGGTAGTTAAGGCTTGTTATTAGTCATTGGATTTTGGATTCAAACTTCATTATAAGTATTTTCTTATTATATCCTTTTAATTGTGAAAAAATTTAATTAAACATATTTTTATCATTAATATAATATTTATTAAAAAAAATTATTTAAGTGATTGAGATTAACCTTACTTTTATACTATTTGTCAACTAAATTACGAATTCATTAAAATATTATTTTATGTAAAAATAATTAATTTTATTATAATATTTTCACAATTTATACCATCTTTAAATAAAATAATTAAAAAAATATTAAAAAATAAAAATAATTGAAATTCCAGTTGGGAAAGTTTAAACTATGGTTGTAAATGAGCTAAGTCGAGTTCGAGTATTGTTGAGCTCAATTCGACTTGAAAAGTGTAAAAATTAACTTGACTTGACTCAAAAACTCAAGAGATTAAATTGTCAAGCTCAACTCGAAATCAAAATAAAAAATTAAAGTTCGACTCAACTCGAAAGCTCATAAGCTTAAATTTTTTAAGCTCGACTAGAGCTCGAAAAAATTTAAACTCGAAATATTCTCAGACTTAACTCGATTGAAGATCAAACTCAAATTCTAACTTGAACCTTAAGTACATGCAAGCCTTATGTTGTTTTTTTAATTATAAATGTTAAAATTATTAATAAGTTAATTTAAAAAATCTAAAAATTTAATATAATATTTTTTTTGAGTTGCTCGCGAGTTTTTCGAGTCGGGTATCAAGTAGTTCGCTTGGCTCGATAAGAATTCGAGTCGAGACCATTCGATTCGAGAGTTAACTAAACTTTAATTAAGTCAATCTCGAGTGGCTGACAATTTATATTTTCTCTTTTATAACCCTAGTTTAAACACTAATTAAAAAAACTCTCCTCTATCAGGATAGTTAAATATTAAGTAAATAGTAATTTAATGTAAAAATTATCATTTTTTAGTCTTAAATTATGCTACTGCTATTTATACTTCCCCTTAATCATAGAACTGTCAAACTTTTGAACAAAATAACTACTAACAACCAAGCCATGTTAAAAAAAAGTTGATGGCCTAAACTCCATGGCACATATGACATAACAAATCCCCCTACCATCTCGCTCCATATCTCGTTACTATATTTATTTCCTCCCTGTCCTTCAATCCCACGATTTTGCATGCATCACCCGTATAGATTATCGTGGGTGACTCACGCCTCCCCTCCCTGTCTCAGCGCCCGGCGCCACCACAATGGCTCATCATGCCAAGCTTCTAGAGGTCACACTCTTTCCGCCGAAGACCTCGTCGAGCTCTCCAAGAACATGAAGACATACGCTATCGTTTGGGTCCAACCCGACCGGAAGCTCACCACGGGGGTCGACCAAACCGGCGGAACCAATCCAGTTTGGAACGACAAGTTCTCGTTCCGAGTCGACGACAAGTTTCTTATCTCCGATGACTCCAAGATTGTTATCGAGATTTACGCGGCTGCGTGGGTTAAAGATGTCATGGTTGGTTGTGTTAATGTTAATATCAACGATATTTTCCATTTGAGGTCCGTGACCGACGCTAGAGCCGACACCAACTCCGCCACGAGATCCGTCACACTTCAAATACGCCGCCCCTCGGGCCGTCCCCAAGGAATTCTAAACATTGAGGTTGCACTTGTTGATAGCACCATGCGTAGCTTGCCTCTGTTAGAAGAACCTAACCCTAAAACAACCCACAATAAAGAGAATCATGAAGACGATAATCATGGCAGCATGGTGAACGGTGGTAGCATGGTGAATGGTGGCTCTGTCTGTAGCACCGACGTGGGTCCATCGGCTTCGGTTGTAGCTGCCGCCATCGCGAAAGGGTTGTATAAAACGCCGGTAAACAATCAAGTTCAGACGAAAGAAAATTTTAAAATAAATGAATGGACGCGGAGAGAGAGAGAAAAGAGGAATTAGAGATGGAGATAGAGAGATGGGAGTCGGAAATTCCACCACCGTCATCGGCGACGGGATGCCATAAATCGAACGGAGGGAGGAGGGTGAAGGGAAATACCAAGTTGTTGTCATGTTTTGGGATTGAGATTGCGATTACATGTGGAGGTCCTGAAGGGACTGAACCGAAAGGCAGTGGCAATGGCAACGATAATAAAGTCCATCATTTAAGCGCTGTGGATGATAATTATAGCCAATCTATTGCTTGAGATATGGAACAACAAGAGATCAAAAGCTTTTGTTTTTGTTGCAAAATATCAAAATTCATTTTCTCCCCTTGTAAACTGTTATATGTATTGAATTTGCATCTCTTCCACACTTCCATCTCTATTTAAACTAAATCCTTCCTTCTTTTTTTACTTTAATAGTAATTGCATATATACATGAATCAAGCGACCTCGATAGTAAATGATTTGTTGTTATTCTTTGATATTCCTGGTTCAAGCACTAAAAATGTTAGGGGTGGGAGTGTTTAAAATCAAATAGTTGGTTGAGAATTATCTTTAAACATATATTATCTTATATTTATCACATATTAATAATAGTAAGTGCATATACAACATTTAGAAGAATTGAATTCAAAATGATGGAGCTCAGTCTACTTTTATAATATATTTTTGTGTTCTTTTTGTAAATTTTTTCTAAGAATTAGATTCAACGTTTTTTTTATTGTCAATGATGTATCCTGAACCCTTATATTAAATATTCATTGGCACTACCAATTACAGAAGATAAGTAGTAATTGAATTGTAATAATGTCAGTTTGTCAATAAATCATCATTATTAGATGTATTTTTATGTTAATGTTGATGTAGACATAAGTTTTTTGCCCATTGTTTACTATTTTTTATTATTTTACTTTATTATTATTATTATTATTATTAAATAAATTATTATTACTATTGCAGGCCTAAAATACAATAACCCAACCCAATTACAAATCCTAGAGGCCCAACAAGAGACCCAGAAGCCCAACTTGGTCCAGACAACCCGAATTGGCCCAAGTTTGTAACCCTAAACTCAATTAGGGTTTTCATCTCATGCTCCAGCTGCCAGCCATATCAGCCATTGGATCTGGAGATATCCAACGGCCACCGATGAGCCAGATGAATAGGGTATCATTACCCTAGGGACTACGCCGACCACTGCTTCTGACACCCAACTCCCGCAACTGCCACTCCTCAGCCACCTTACCCGAATGTCGAAGACATTAGCCCAGCCGCACACCTTGAAGTCTAGGGTGAGTCACCACCATAGTTTGGTGACTCACCGAAGATCGCTCCTTTACCCGGTCCAAGGGGAGCTTCGTGGTCCTATAAAAGCCACCAAACCTGCGAAATAAAAAAAAAGAGCAAACCCAAACAGCAACCAAAACTACCAAATATCAAACCAAAAATTAAAGAAGAGAAGCTTACTGAAGACCGCACGGTAACCGGAGCTTCCACACGCCGCTGAAAGAATCAAAATACCGAAGGTATTATCGTAGATCTACTTCGATTAGGAACTTTTTATGGAAAACTAAATCCGGATTCGGCCTTAGAACAATCGGATCTTTAATTTGGGGGGTGTCTGTGTAATTTCTCGTATGGGAAAATCACATCTGTTAGGACGTAGACTTCGTTTTGGGGAGGGGTGTCTGTGTAATTTCTCGTATGGGAAAATCACATCTGTGGTCCCTATAAATTTTAATATTTTCATTTTGGTCACTGAAAGTATATTTCTGTTATTTTAATTTGGTATTTGAATCTTAATTTATTATAATTTAGTCCCTACCATGCTTTTACATATTTTAGGTAAAATAATATATTTAGACCCTATAATTTTAATAATTCATATTTTAATCCCGAATAATAAATTAAGGTTAAATTACACTGTTAGGACGTAGACTTCATAATATTTCGAATTAGGTTCTTTAATCTTGATATTTTATGTTTTAATCCATGATAATTAAGAAATTTCTATTTTAGACCATAAATTACATTATTTTTATTTAATCCTATATTTTAAAAAATTTAATATTTTATTTATATTTTAATATTAAGAAAGGGATAATATTTATTTATTTTTTAATATTAAGAAAGGGACTGTCTTAAAGTAACTAGATGTCATTTTCTAATATTTTTAAATAATAAATATCCTATTTATAAAATATATATATATTTACTTTAATTTTATTGAAATTATTTTTAAATGATTTTATTAGCAAAATTATCATATTTTTATTAATATTTTTTAGTTTTTTATATTAAGAAATGGAATGTCTTAAAGTAACTAGATGTCATTTTCTGATATTTATAAATAAATAAATATCATATTTATAAAAACCTAATATATATATATATATATATATATTTACTTTAGTTTTATAAAAGTTATTTTAATATATATTTTTTGGAATCATCCTAGTAAATTTGAAATAACATGATCATAAATTAAATTTATATTTGAATTCTTAAACTTCTACTAATAAAGACAATTTATAACTGATGGGTACCAATTTTGGGCGTTATGGGGGTGCTAATCTTCCCTAAACGTAACTGACCACGAATCCTTTTGATTACTAAAAGAATGAATTTTTGGTTATACGCAGACATATTTATCTTTTAAATTATGTTTTCTTAAAAACTATTTTAAAAGATGATTTTTAGGTATTCGACCTACCCAACCAAAAAAGTCGATGGCGACTCCAAAATATTTCTTTAATAAAAATCATTTATTTATTCACCTTACTTTTCCGCCAAAGAAAATTCGTACCTAGGCGAAAATCGGTTACGACAGCTTGGCGACTCCACTGGGGATTTGGTCAAACCTAAATTAATTATACATTGTCTCTATCATTTAGAAATTGAGAATTCAGATTTATTTAATTTCTAATTCTTTTGATTTCTTTCAATTCTTTATTCTTTATTATTTTTATATATACTAATATTTTATTTTAATGATTTTCAGATATTAAACTTTATTTTTATTGGTTGTTTGTCAAAGGTTTGAGAATTTCTCCTCACATACAACAAGAGCATTGCATAAACATAAGCTCTATACTTGAGCTCTTTTCCCTTTTAAGTGGGAGTGAAAGCGACGTCTTCGTGAGAATTTATTCTCCGTGTCAAGCATAGAGAAATGTGTCCCCTTGAATTGAATTCGATCCACTTAAGTCTATAATGGACGAGGATTGAGGTTTTGGCAGCCCAAGGGGGCACCAACAAGGACAATTCGAGTACCTTTACTCCTATAACTGAAACTATGCATATAGTAAACTATAGAAACCCTCTCGATCTAAAACCATGCTGAAATTTTTTCCAAAATAGGTGTACACAAAGGAGAAATGAACTCTAACTTTTGCCTTTAATTTATTTAATTTTTTTCTTGTTCTGAATAAATGCATGTGAATTAGGGATTATAGTATTACTTAAAGTATGCTATATAAAAAGCGTGTTTAAATAGAAATGTTTGGGTAGACATTATTATTAAATTAATTTTTCCTTCCTTATTATTTGAACTAATTTATTTCATTTTTATGTTTTTTCTTTTATTTTCGTTATTTGCATGACATCATACAAGATTGAGGGTATTGACCTTTGAGTTAATCATCTCATTGGAAAGCATTAATCAATGGATAAAAAGTATTCAAATCAAGTAGTTCTAAACTCGGAAATAAGACAATGGTCTGAAGAATTGCAAAGACAGGTGGGAGACAGTTTGCATGATGATTATGTACCAGATTTAGCAGGTTATGCTCCAGTTTCTCTCAAAAGGAATGATATTCAAGACCTGCGAGGCATTTGGGAGAACTGGGATTCAAATAAAAAGCTACAGTTTTACCATTATTACGGGGACATTTCGTATTTGCTTTATTTTGAAATAGATGATGAATTGCTCTGAGCCTTGATTCAATTATGAAATCCAGGATATAATTGCTTCACTTACAATAAAGAGGACATGGTTCATACTATTAAATAATATACAACCTTGTTACATATAGAGGGGGCTCAAGAGAATCGAATTTATTCGAGGTCAATCAAAACTCAACCTTCAGAGTTGAATTGGCAAATATTGCAGGAGTACGTGAGGAATGGGTGGTGGCCTGTACAAAACAAAAAGGCGAGGGTTAAGGCATTTCTTGGACCAATATTAAAGAAATCATTCAAAGTCATCCAGATGATAAAGTATGATTTGACATCTTTGTTCTGTGTATATATGGGATAGTCATCTTCACGAAAGCTTTGGGATATATCGAAGCTGCAGTAGTAGATTTATTCGAGCAATTATAAAAAAAGGGTCAATCTTGTTTCAGCAATTCTAGCAGAGACCTTTCGATCATTGAGTGCTTGTAGAATGTTGGGAGGAGGACGATTTTCGGGATGTGCACAACTATTATATGTATAGATCCGTAGCCATTTTTGGAGAATAGAAAAGGTATCATAAAGTCGCTTTAGTACGGGCTACTCGCCTTTGAAAGAGTTTCTTGAGGAAGAATGGCCAAAAAAGTCAAAATAGACATGTGGATGAATGCCCTTAGAAATTTGCAAAGCAACGACATCGTTTGGCGCACCCCTTAGTAAATACAAAGAGAGTTTCTTTACAAATATGATGACTAAAACTGGGTGATATTGCTTGGCTTATGAGGAGGGATTGGATATGCACCACTTCTAGTTATGAGGCAATATGAGGGTCGTCAATTTATATCAGTTACTACTGGGTTACATTCTCTGAGTTTGCATTTCATGGCATCAATTACAAAACAAACATCATGGATGCAGTTAAAGCATGGAAAACAAATTTCTGTATTCGAGCCAAAGCAGGTAAAGTAATGTTAACCCCCGATTACGAAGAATGGAGGTCTGTTAGAAAAAAATGAAAATATTCCTCTACTAGACCAAAATGAGGATATCTCTATGGAAGATCGAATTCGGGTAGTCCCACTAGAGATATAAATCCTAAGAGCTAAGTTTGAAGTAGAAAAAGAGGGTTGGTTAAAAGAATTAGAGCAAATACGACGAGATAAAGCTATGTGGGGTGTCGACGTTGACTTTCATACCGCACAGTTTGTCATGCTAAGAGAGAACAAAGAAAAATAGATGATGAGTTAATAAAGTTAAACAAGAATTACTATGAGTTGCAAAAATACAGATCACTAGTCAAGCAGAGCGACAACACAGTTGAACAAGGAGTTAAACATTCAGAAATGTCGAGTCAAAGATTTGAAAAC